AGTTAATTCTTTTCGAATCAACACCCTTTGTTAGGCAAGAAGCATGACAAAATTTACACCTGAACTTTGGTGATAAGGTCTGCTACAATTCTGAGGCTCTCCCTTCTTCACCTGCTCTACCCTGCCCACTCCAAGGTGTTCAGTGAATCAGGTTCAAAGTACTATCACCTTACAAACCTACATGGCTGAATTCAAAATGAGTGAGAAGCAGTTAAAAGAATTAACTTAATATATTAGCATCCCACTATGGCACCCAGTACTCCTTAAAAGACCATTGTGGAACTCTGGGTTCAATATGCATTGTAGCATCCTCATCTGGAACCTCTGCCTTATCAAAGCTAAACTAATATGATTAAATAAACATGTAAATAATATACACATCCCATGAAAAAGCAATGACCTGGACGTCTCAGCAGCATTTCCATATTTATCTTCACAATTAAGGCATTTTAAAATCAGATGGAAACACGCTATCACATCATCACACACAGTCAGTAAGATCCCACCAAGCTCCTTGGTTTGCACAGTTAAAAGCATTAATTGCCAAATAGTGGTACAGCTGGATATAAAAGCCAACAGTCACAGCTGCAGCACGTTAGGTCTTAGATGTAAATTAAAGGGCTTTTCTATGTAAATAGGGAATAGTTTTAGGGATGCAACAGAGCACAACAAGCTCTTCCTGTTTAGACAACGGTGTAAAATACGTACAGATTTACAGCCTGCACTTGCCAAGTCACTCACAGTTTTTGCAAATATTCAAACGAGCCTGAAAACTCAAACGATTAGTCACGGCTTTGGGAAGCCAGGAAACAACAACGGCGGAGCCCAGGGGCGCAGGGCGAGCTTTGGAGAAGTCTCAGCGTGGGACCTGAGGCTCCAGTACCGGCAGAGAGAGAACTCCAGGGGCAGAGGGATGCCCGCTCGCATCTCTCCTCTGCGGGCGTAACGGGCCGCCCGTGCCCACTCGCGTTGCATCGAGCATCGGAACCGGCTGCGCTCCCGCCTTCCCACCGTGACAGCGGTAAAAGCCGCCGGTGGGCGGCCCGCTCCCCGCCGGGTCCCACCGCCCCGCACTCCCCCGGCCGC